TCTGGTTCGGCTGTTGTCTGACAGCAGCACTTAAAGCAAACAGACCAACCAAGCTTCTTATGGAAACTTCATTAAGCCATTGTCAGTCTGACATGACATGTCTGTGTGTGTACATTAAACAGTGTGAGGAAATTCCTCTTGATCTGTTGACACAGTCTCCCATTAGGCAGCCAATGGAGTTGAACTGGCCGATTTTATTAGTTAGATTTTTCCGATCCTTTTACTCTTTCAGGCAAGTGAGCTCAGAGGAAGCAATATTAAACAGCAACAGATGTAATGATGAGTGTAAAACTATTCAGAGAGGAACCAGGCTATTGTACAACAACCTCAAGCTGTAAATTTGTCTAAGAAACACATTTCTACATTGCATTGTCAGCAGTTTGATTGGGTCTCAGCATGTTCATATATTTTAGTTTTTTGAAAAATACTGTATTTGGGGATGAAACATCACAAATCTTGTGGTTTTTATGCTGTGTTGTCATGCATTCATGTTTCTGTTTATATTTCCTAGGTGGCATGTATGCAGTTCATCAACATTGTTGTGCACTCAGTGGAGGACATGAACTTCAGAGTTCATCTACAGTTTGACTTCACCAAGCTGTGTCTGGATGACTACTTAGACGTGAGTTGAGATATAGTGCTGTAAGAAAGATGGGCAGACGGACAGAACACTTCCACACTTACATTCAGCTCAGCCCAGATCATACAATCAGTTGTCATTGCAACACCCCTGAGACAGCAGCCACAGAAAAGCAGTCGATATTTACTTTTCCATTGCTTCAGGAAAATCGGTCAGTTCTGTAAATCCTCGCCTCGTGCCTTGCTGCAGAGATGAGATCAGTGCTGACCTCGGAGTCTGAGATGTCAGCGTTAATGCAGCAAATGGAAAAAAAAAAAACTCCCCGAATGCCTCGCTCTTATCATCACACTGTCTCTTTTTGTGTGGATTTTTTTTTCCAGAAATTAAAGCATACAGAGAGCGATAAGCTGCAGGTTCAGATCCAGGCCTACTTGGACAATGTGTTTGACGTGGGAGCCCTTCTGGAGGATGCGGAGACTAAAAACGCTGCCCTGGAGCGGGTGGAGGAACTGGAGGAGAACATGTCACATGTAGGAGCTCACAGCTGTTCGTTACTCTGCTCATTCCTCTTTTGCAGAAGGCTACATAATAACATCCAACATATGAGGACGTTGATGGGTGATACATAGTTCCCTCTAATCATGACTAAGAGGCCACATTATATATATGGACACACAGGCTCATTATACTTGAATCCACCTGATTAGTTCTAATTCAGAAAAATACAGTATATGTTATGTGTTATGTGCCTTACATTCCACCCCACTGGGTCACTTTGACATTTTGAGATGGATGTTTTCATCACTATGAGTTTACATCGTTGTGTAATCTTTTGCTGGCTTTTCTTGTAGATGACCGAGAAGCTGCAGGACATGGAAAATGAGGCCATGTCCAAGATCGTAGAGCTGGAGAAGCAGCTGATGCAAAGGAACAAAGAGCTCGAGTCCATCAGGGTTAGACCCACATTCTGTATATACACATTCATCCTTTAAATTGTCATTTTATAAAGGACAAGTTCTCGTGGTACACATTGTCATAGAAAGCTCTCCATCAGCTTCATGGCTCTGTTTCTTTCTCCCACACAGGAAGTCTACAAAGACACCAGCTCACAGGTACACTCACTGCGGCAGATGTTGAAAGAGAAGGATGAGGCCATCCAGCGACAGAATAACCTGGAGAAGAAAATTCATGAACTGGAGAAGCAGGGCACCATCAAAATCCACAAGAAGGAGGATGGAGACATCTCCATCCTGCCCTCGCCATCCTCTGGTGTGGAGGGTGTTGAGACGAGAGGAAACAGCGCAGCGGTCAGTCCAAACCATGTGGGTTTTGTTGGGGATACGCCTGCTCCACCTCCACCACCTCCTCCACCCCCTCCACTACCAGTGAATGGCACATGTAGGTTTAATATTAGCCAAGGTTATTAGCATACAAACTGTTGATCATAAAATGCAGGAAGAAGATTGTTGATATGCATATTTGTCAGCTGGTTAAAAAAATTATACTAAGAACTAAGATGGACAAGAAAAACAACCCCCCAGAGCTGCAGTGAATTGGTATCCAGTAATTCATTTAAATAATTTTAAACTTCATTAAAAGTAGCTAAACCTGCTCTGACAGATGCATTTTCCATTGTGTTTTTCTGCACATCTCACCTTTCCCAGTGCTAAACGGACTGCCTTCAGCCATTCCAGCAGCAGCAGCAGTTCCTCCACCTCCACCTCCCCCTCCCCCCCCACCCC